AACTTTTTTTTACTAATGCTATCAATTTTGATGGAGTTATTTTTTTAATATAGACATTATAATTACTTTAATGTTGTTGACATTAGTAGTGGCATTATAAGATATTTTCAAAAATCAAGGAAAAGGGTAAACAGGTTAGACAAGTAGTATGCATAATTGACTCATTGGTGACTTAGTACAAGTGGAGCCATCTATGTGTAAAAACAATTAGTAAAGTAAACTCAAAGTGGGTATGGCATGTATGTACATGCCTTGCCTGTCGGTTCTGGGTTAAGCTGCAAAAAATGTGTTCATCATTTTCATCACTAGCTAAATGAATGTGTAGGTTAATTTGTCAGTAATTTCTGTATCATTATATTGGAATCCATTCATTGCTAGATATAAGGAACAGTCTAAATTGATTTTAGGTTTTCTTGTAGTTTTACTCTTAGTAAGATATAGATTTAGTTTATAGTATTGTTTTTTTGTTTTTGTTTTTTTTTACCTTTTGTGCTTGATTATGAACAAAACTTCGAAGTTACATTTTGAGTTCATTTGCAGAATGGTCTGAACTCTCTCTACTGGCGTGCCCTGCTCCAGGTAGTGCTGAAAGAGAAACTGGGGGACAAGTTTAATACCACCCAAGTAGGTCGCATTGCCAGTAAATGCAAGGACTTCACAGAGTATTCGAGAAAAGCTTTTGAGAAATTAGAACTGAACATTGAGGTAGGATCCCAACTCAGAATTTTTTTTTCTTTCCTTCTTTTTCTTTTCTTTTCTTTTCTTTAACATCGATAATGTGAAATATTTTCAATTGGCAACACCAACCATATCCACAAGTTTGAGTTAGATGATTATTTTAGAATATTTTATATTCATGTTTACTATCATTCCTCCATATAAGCATGCACAAATGAGTTTGTTTGTATAGCTATATTCTTTTTGCTTGTCACAGGTAACTAATGAGGAATTGTATGATTATCAAAGAAGGTATGCAAACAACAGAGAGAAGATAGAACGTTTCTTCCTTCTGCGTTCAACACTAGCGCCCTTGATAGAAGGCTTGATACTTCTGGATAGACTAGCATTTCTTTCTGAACAGGTGAGGCAGTGTAAATATAAATGGGGCTTTTTCCTCTTTCTGGAGAGAGAGAAAGAAAGAAAGAAAGAAGAAAGAAACAAAGAAAGAGAGAAAGAAAGAAAGAGAGAGAGAGAGAAAGAGAAAGAGGAAGAGAGAGAGAGCAGAAGAGAGAGAGAGAGAGCAGAAGAGAGAGAGAGAGAGCAGAAGAGAGAGAGAGTGGAAGAGAGAGCAGAAGAGAGAGAGGAAGGGAGAGAGAAAGAGAAAGAGAGAGAGAGAGAGAGAGCAAGAGATTATTGCATTTCTGTGCAAAAACTGATATTTGCATGTTAGTGTAAGCATGGTGACAGTAGCCAGGAAGTCCTTCATTAGAAATAACCTTAAAGTAAAGCCAATATATTTGAGGCATAGTCTAGTGTATACTGTCACTTGGGTAAATCATTTTATACAGTGCAGTGATTGCAAAAATCTTTGATTTTCTTCTTTAAAAACAAATGTGTTGTAAAGTATTGTTATTATTACTTATAACTAAAGCTTATGTGAACCTCAGATGAGTTCAGTTTTTTCCCTAGCATTAGTTAGAAAATTCAAAAGTATATGGCTTATAAGCACACATTTCCAGTACATAATCTATGCATACATAATCTATTGATTCTGCAATAAAATCATCTGCCATTTTTTGTGAAAGGTGCTACTATTAATATCAGTTCTTATTGCAGGAGGACATTGAAGCTGCATATCTGGTGCAGCTGTTCAACCCAGTCACATCTCCCCGTTGTCATGCAGTCATTGGCGTTCGAAGCAAATGATATTTCTATTTTAGGATTCATTGTTATCTACCTTTCCGTATATGTAGCCTGAGTTTACATATTGCTGTTAATGTAATTTGCATATTTATGTATTGTTTGTTTGTTGTTTGATTGGCTTTTAGACTATTTTTATTTGTTATTTTATCTATTTTAGGAACATAAAATCTACCTCTGGAAATGAATTAACAATATCCTATGCAAATATTTTATATTAGAGGTATACGAAGGATAGTTTTCAAGTTCATATTTTTATAAATCTTTTTAACTGGCCTACCTTAATTTTTTGTTGAAGCAGTTACTTTGTAACACTGTAATGTGATTCTTCTAGTCGCAAATAAAAGTATGAAACTACTTATTTTTTCCTATTATTTCACTTCCTGTGGTACATTTTCTTACTATTTAAGTAAAATAGTGGACATTAGCGCATTATGTGCTATAGAGCATGCCCTATAGCACAAAAAATAGGAATTTTTTTGACAACGGAATATGAGCTCAAGTCAACTTTAATCATATCTTTCTGGTTAGCTTTCTCATCCTCTGTATATAAATATATATATATATATATATATATATATATATATATATATATATATATATATATATATATATATATATACATATATATTTATATTTATTTATGTATATACATATACATATATATTTATATTTTTTCTTTCTTATTCTTTTCTTTTCTCTTTTTTTTCTGTTTCTTTTTTTTGTATATTCTACCTTTGTTTTCTTTTCTCTTTTTTTCCTTTCTTTCCTTCTTTCTTGTTAAACCAGATGTACTCTAGTAGATATGAATCTGTATTATTTTTGTTGTTATTGTCAAGAACTTATTTCACAATGAACATATTTTCCTCTAAACATCATTCCTGCCATATTATTTAAACAATACAGTTATACAGACTAAACTATCTATGTTTAACATCATTCTGTATCTGTATGGCTTTTCTGATCAAGTATTGATAAAGAGCAGATATAAAAAATTTATTTATGTTTCTAGATGTGTGTCATTACATAGCTGGATCTTTTGTATTCATCTGCACTGGAAACACTTATTTCATTATGGTATTTTGGTATCAGGTACCTCTACTGCAACAAGGAATTTCAATACATCCAGTGTAAATAGAAGAATTTACTCTAGCATGTATTTGTGATTATCTCAAAGGCCCCAGGAAAATGTGTTCACTGTAGTATTGTTTTGTTAAATGTCTCTGCACATAGGTGGCTCTGCAAGTGCTTAGCCCTGAAGGAGTCAATTAGTAGACCTTGTCAGCTCGCCTGATTTCACTTTTCCTTGACTTTGTAGAAAAAATGCCTTTTTTACTAAAGCTATCAATATTGGTGTTAGCAATATTAGCAATACCAGAAAAAAATTTAAAATTTAAAAAGTGAGACAGGTAGTACTCATAATTAGCCCATTGGTGGCTTAGTACTTGTGGAGCCTTCTATGTGTAAAATCAATTAAGAAATTAAACTCACAGTGGTCATGACATGTACATACATGCCATCCCCAGCAGCTTGGGGTTATTAAACCGTGCATTATCAAATATTCCTCATGATAATCAGGTCATTTATCTGGCTCAAAGTTAAACATTTCCAGTCCATGATTTATTTTGGCATTGATTGATAGTGTTAAAAGAAAAACAAATAGAATTTAAAGTCATCATAACTTCATATTTTATTGGGATCATACATCTATAGCCACTACACGTTTTCTTTTAAAATGTACATAAATATCATGAAATGTGATATGATTTTTTTTATTTATTATCATAATTATTACATGTATTATTAGTATTTGCAGTTGTAATAGCATTAGTATTAATATTGTTGTTATTGTTAATGTTACTAATATTACTACACTGATATTTATTATCAGCATTATTTATCATTATTATCATTATCATTATCATCATCATCATCTTCATCACACCTATACATATTTAAAAGGGAGAATATTTACATATAAAAACAACTGCTTATGCATTCATGTAATGATGATGACAGTAGCAATAATAGTAACAGAAATTATTTTTGCAATGGTAACAAATAATTATAAAATAGATTATAACAAAAATGATAATGGCAATAATAATAATAATAATAATAATAATAATAATAATAATAATAATAATAATAATAATAATAATAATAATAATAATAATGATAATAATAATAATGATAATGATAATGATAATGATAATGATAATGATAATGATAATGATAATGATAATGATAATGATAATGATAATAATAATGATAATAATAATGATAATAATACAAGTAATAATAGTAATGATTATAGTAATAATGCTAATAATGGTAAATATAATAAGAGTAACGGTAAGAATTGTTAACATTAATGATGATAACAAAATTATAACAATTATAATAACCATAACAGTGGTAAAAATGCTCATGTAATGGATAATAACGCAAGAAATTATTATTATCATAATAACAATTATGATAATAACAGTGATTAACAATGATAATGTTAATAATTATGAATAATAGTAATAATGATAATAGTAACAACAGTCATTGATAGCAATAATGATAATGATGAAATTCTAGTAACCATAATAGCAAAGGCTCTACTCTCATAATGATAATGTTGATCATTATGATCAATTTTTTACTAGCCCTTCCTTTAATGTCAGTATAATTACAAATGTTATGATAGTACTATTATAGATTAGATTTCGACTACGACTCAAATGCACGCGCTGTGATAATGCATTGTGTAATACATTTGTATATTCCCTTCCCTTCGCTTCCCTTCTCTTCCCTTCCCTTCTCTTTTTCTTTTCATTTTTCTTTTCTTTTTTTCAAGGGGTGGGGACTGAGTTTTCAATACTAACAAATGAATAAATAAATAAATAAATAAATAAATAAATAAATAAATAAAATTAGAGTGAAGGTGTTATAGATTACCCATAGAGGGTTTTCTGTGTGTGTGCGTGTGTATGTAAGCCCCAATCAAAATAAACATACATGAAACACATGACCAAGTACTTTATAATCGCCCCAACGAAAATATATAACAAAATAAACACCCAAAACGCTTCCCCGAAACGTCCTTTACACAACCCTTAAGTACGAGATCCTTCGAGGCCGACGTTGTTCTCACTCTCAGCGCGAAAGACGAATCGTCGAGAAATAACGTGCAAATTACCTTTAAATTTTCGTCTCCTGTGTCCTTTGTCTCCTAATTTCGCCAAGATGAGCAAGAAGGATGCAGATTCGACGGCACGGATACGCCAGTACTTGGAGCACCAGAATAGGCCTTATAGTGTTAATGACATCTTCATGAACCTGCATAAGGACATCGGGAAAACGGCGGTTCAGAAATGTCTAGACCAGCTCGTGGCCGTGAGTTTTCTGGTGGTTGATCTTGGTAGATTTTATTTTTTATTTATTATGATTATTTTTTGTTGTTGTTGTTGTTATTTGTAGGTGTTGTGGTGGTATTGGTCAGTGTTACCGAGAGCGAAGACACAAAATCCATACTTAACCTTTCCTACCTTCTATTTATTCCTCTGACAGGGGGTCAAGTCCACCCCAATACCCCCCCCACCATACCCCCTTACCCCCATACCCCCTCATTAGTAGTACTTTATTAGCATTTTTGTTATTCAGTGAAGGGCACTAGATCTGTACTCAAAGCTTTGCTGCAGAAAAATAATTGGCAAGTGGTTAGTCATTTAAAGAAAATAACTTTTCTTTCATAATCCTTTGGCCAGTGTTCTAACCAAATTGTGTTATTTAATAGTGTTAGTGTCAATTACTGTAGTCATCTTGCTTCACACTAGCAAAGGCCTGGATATTCACACAAAGTAGAGCATGGGCTAGTTTCCTCCTAAATTGACAGGGATGTTCACAAGTTCAATCGTGCTGGAATAAATATGATCTTGGTTTGGTGGCCTTTGTCAAAGCACCGACAGGTATCAAGTGCTGAGCCCATTATTAGATAATCCAGTGTCTACAAAAATTACTAAATAATCATACTTTTTCCTTTTTATAAATGTGAAAAGGAAAGTAAATTATGAAAATTACTTTTAGAAGTAAACCTTCATAAATCTTCACCAAAGTTCCATTTTGCCAATGTAACATATCTGGTAATAATTATAGTGATGAAGTAGACCCTGTTACCTAAGAAGAAGAAAGTGTAATGTACTAAGAAAATTAGGGATATGTAAATTAAAACACTAATGTCATAAGTCTGTTTTTTTCTTTGTTTGCTTATTTGTTTCATATTTACTTGTGCTTCCTTGATCTTAGTTTCTTTCATGCCCTTCTCAGCTATCAGAGCCAAGTTATTACATTGTAAGCCTTTTAGAAAAATGAGAGAATGGGAAAAGTATTCAATGTAATTTTTAGATAAATTACTGACATGCTACACCGTATCATTCACACAAATGCTTATTTAGAATTGAACTGTTTAGTAAGCTGCTTCAATTTGATAGTTTTCCTGTAAAGTTCCCTCTCTCAGTACTGAATTTTTATTTAGAGCTCCTATTATATTGAAATATAATTGTTGTCACATATAAAGTGATATAAAGATTATGCCTATTGAAGTATATTTCCATTTGTCAGTGTCCATTGCTCCTGCCTAGTTATAAATAACTTGCAGTTGAAATATATTTAAAATGTCTACTTTTCAAAAAAATCCAGACATCATTGACAGAGATATGAAACAGAAAGAATTGAATAAAGATAAATATAGTAGCTAATCATTGAAATTCTTTTCAGGATGGCTGTGTTAAGGAAAAGGTATATGGCAAGCAAAAGGTGTATGTGTTTGACCAGTCACAATTCCCCCCCCTTGATGAGACCCAACTTAAGGAGATGGACAGAAAGATCACGGACCTTAATGACACCATCAAACAAAAGGAAAAACTTTGTGGGGAGACTGAAGCCAGACTGCGTTCCCTGAATTCCAGTTTGACTACTGAGGAAGCAGAAAAGAAATTGCAGGATGTAAGGGAAAAAAATACTGTTATGTCATAGATGTGTGTTTTCAATGATTATTTTTGTTTGGAATAGATGATTTTTTCTTTCTTTCTTTTATCGGAAGAGACAGATGAATTAGATATTGTTCTGAATCGACTAAGGTACTATACTCTTAATATTATTATTACTTTATTTTTTATAAGTTCAAAAAAGTGAAGCACAGCTTGGTATTGAAATATATGTATGAATTGTTTGTGTAGTGAAAACGTGTGATCTGTTATATGAGAATGTAAATTAGAATTATATATTTTCTATATAGATTTTTATGGCATAGTGTTTATGGGTAAGAACAATATTTATTTCTCAAAATGTATGGATATATGTATCACTATCATACTGAAAATCAGTATCAATAATTTCCAATTTTTTTGTATTATTTTTCCTTTTCTGCTTTTATATCACATATTAAGTAAAAAAGAAGTGTGATGTATTTTTTACCTGATATAGAATACATAAAGATGTAAGAAGAAGAATAGTTGCATGTTAAGTTGAGAAACTCAAGTTATCTAAGTTCATTTTGCTTTAGAAATTCTTGATAGGGCAAATTCCTTACTGGCACATGGCAGCGCATATACCCCGGGGTGACAAGAAGGAAAATGTCAGTTGCAAAATATGTTATTAAGAAGAAGAATAGTTGCATGTTAAGTTGAGAAACTCAAGTTATCTAAGTTCATTTTGCTTTAGAAATTCTTGATAGGGTAAATTCCTTACTGGCACATGGCAGCGCATATACCCCGGGGTGACAAGAAGGAAAATGTCAGTTGCAAAATATGTTATTAAGAAGAAGAATAGTTGCATGTTAAGTTGAGAAACTCAAGTTATCTAAGTTCATTTTGCTTTAGAAATTCTTGATAGGGCAAATTCCTTACTGGCACATGGCAGCGCATATACCCCGGGGTGACAAGAAGGAAAATGTCAGTTGCAAAATATGTTATTAAGAAGAAGAATAGTTGCATGTTAAGTTGAGAAACTCAAGTTATCTAAGTTCATTTTGCTTTAGAAATTCTTGATAGGGTAAATTCCTTACTGGCACATGGCAGCGCATATACCCCGGGGTGACAAGAAGGAAAATGTCAGTTGCAAAATATGTTATTAAGAAGAAGAATAGTTGCATGTTAAGTTGAGAAACTCAAGTTATCTAAGTTCATTTTGCTTTAGAAATTCTTGATAGGGCAAATTCCTTACTGGCACATGGCAGCGCATATACCCCGGGGTGACAAGAAGGAAAATGTCAGTTGCAAAATATGTTATTAAGAAGAAGAATAGTTGCATGTTAAGTTGAGAAACTCAAGTTATCTAAGTTCATTTTGCTTTAGAAATTCTTGATAGGGTAAATTCCTTACTGGCACATGGCAGCGCATATACCCCGGGGTGACAAGAAGGAAAATGTCAGTTGCAAAATATGTTTTAGTTAAGAGGAAGAAGTGTCAAGACTACAGAAAAAACTGTCAGACCTACAAGAAAACCAGGTGCTGATCTCAAAGGAAGAAAAAGATCAAATCAATTCAGAAAACGAGAAGATGGTGAAGATGTGGAGAAAGAGAAGACGAATGGCCGTGGATATTCTCGATGCTATTCTCGAAGGATATCCAAAGAAGAAGAAGGATTTATTTGATGATATTGGCATTGAAACGGATGAAGACGTTGGTGTCAAACTGCCAAAGGCTTAAGAAATTATATCATTTATTAGTAATGTAGAAGCATATAATATGGAAAACTGGTTTTTGTCATAGCTAAGTTTCAGTTTTGCTAAAATACATACTAAGAGGAGTGGAAGCTATCATTTATATAGAATTTCTCATGTTACTTATTCAAGCACAAAATTGTAAAAGAAGAAAACCTACATTCATATTATTATTTCAGATTCATTAATTTTTGAAGTATGGTTCACTGAAATCTTTTTTCAAATTACAAATTTATTTATAGACTTTATTCTTTTTCTTTTTTTCCCACTTAACTTCTTGTTCTCTCCCTTTTCTTTCTTTCATTTAACAGAAGAGACAGATGAATTAGATATTGTTCTGAATCGACTAAGGTACTATACTTTTAATATTATTATTACTTTATTTTTTATAAGTTCAAAAAAGTGAAGCACAGCTTGGTATTGAAATATATGTATGAATTGTTTGTGTAGTGAAAATATGTGATCTGTTATATGAGAATATAAATTAGAATTATATATTTTCTATATAGATTTTTACGGCATAGTGTTTATGGGTAAGAACAATATTTATTTCTCAAAATGTATGGATATATGTATTACTATCATACTGAAAATCAATATCAATAATTTCCTAATTTTTGTATTATTTTCCCTTTTCTGCTTTTATATCACATATTAAGTAAAAAAGAAGTGTGATGATGTATTTTTTACCTGATATAGATTACATAAAGATATAAGAAGAAGAATAGTTGCATGTTAAGTTGAGAAACTCAAGTTATCTAAGTTCATTTTGCTTTAGAAATTCTTGATAGGGTAAATTCCTTACTGGCACATGGCAGCGCATATACCCCGGGGTGACAAGGAGGAAAATGTCAGTTGCAAAATATGTTAGTTAAGAGAAAGAAGCATGTGAGACACTTGTAAAAATTAAATAAACCTGTTTGAAGAAGAGTGCAGTGGTGACAATGTTGTAGAGTAAAGCAGAATGAACTAAGTGGCAAAGTAAAAGAGCAGTGGTATGAAAAGTACTGAAGGATCTGAAACCTATACAGCATATATGTGGCAGAATACTTTGGATACATCAACTATGATAACACAGTAACATCTTTGATAAAGCATATTACACATCTGAATATTGCAGCTTCACAATTAGAAAAGTTTGCCATGTAAACCACTTTTTTCTGATTTCATTTCCTAGAATGGTAAACTATAAAAGTATTAGCAAGGGGTGAGTTTATGTTTTAGGGAGCTAATCAATTTACCTATGGCCAATATAGCTGCCCAATCCCTTACTCTATGTTGTCGGGGGGGGGGGTGCTCAGCCCTCACCTCAACTAATTTTGCATGGTCTTTTCTTCTCCTTTTCTTCACCCTCTTGTTTTGTCCACCTATTCTATTATCCATGTCATCCGAGGTTATATGCACTCCCATAAATCTTTATCCTTTTTT